GACTTGTGACTTATTTCAACTTTTAAGATTGGATTATAAATTAAGTGAACTCTTGTTCCCTTCATCAAAACATGCTTGTGAGGAATCTGTAAAGGTTGCCAAATGCATGAAGTCAAAACAGAAATCCCAATGAATTCATCATCCTATAATGTGCAGCATGTTTCACCCTTGTCGGTCTTCTCAGAGCAAAATGCTAAAATGTTTGCATTATAGTTTGTCTGGACAAAGTTACAGGACAGGAAGGAGGGGGTGGCTGGAATTTGAAATTCAGTGTGAAGGAAAACTATCCAGGCTCCAGAATGGACAGCTAACAGCTTCAGCCCATTGTGCATTCTTGCTTCAGTTGCATTTCAGTCCTTCACAGACCTGATTCTAACTTGGATTGGGAAATGGGAGCAAAGGATTCGGTGAGTGAGGATTGAGGTGAGTACCAACAGCCCCACATCCGTAGAGATTGTTCCCAGCAGGGCTAGTGATTTTAATTTATGGGTCTCAGCTGCATGCTGGAGGTCAGTGGCCCACCCAAATTGGCTGTGAAATGAGAGCTGGCCAGCAGACAGGAGGGTTAACCGAATTATCACTGGTGCTCAGATTCATCATGGGGAGGTTGTTTTCAGGAAGGGCTGGGGCGATTGAAACTTTGCCTCCAGGGCTCTTAGGAATACTCCTGGTTATCCAGGCTCCAGTACGGAATTTAAAAATATGCTTTTTTTTAAAAAGGTAGATGTTTGGCCTTTTCTGACCCTCATTTCACTTCCTGCCATTTTCACCTGTGGATATATTCACACTGATTTGCCATGTTGGTGTCTCGTTAAAATCATAGTGAAGACCTAATGGCTCTGACCTTCATCTAAGAAAACACTCCATGGGTTCAGGTAGGCTTCTCTTGTACCTGCTCTGATTAGCAATGTACACAAGAAGCCAATGCCTGGCCCAATTACTCTTTTTCCCCAGTGTCAGTTTGAAACATCCATTCTATCCTGAATACACTCCTGGACATAGTTTAGTTCAAACATATATGACAAGAATAGAAAATTAAATGTGAGAGAGGAGAACTCAGAGACAATCAACAGCACCAAAAGGAGCAGGAGAGGTGGGGGGAGGGGTTTCGTAGAACCTAGATATTGATAGCAACAGACCAGCTGCAGTCTGAGAGAAATACAAGTGTTACCTCACAGGACCCAGATTAATGATTGTTCACTAAACGTTTTGCTCATTTGACTTTTGAAGCTTATGTAATTCATTTGTAATTGAAAAGTTTTATTATTTGTAGTAAGGTGTACTGGCAGTAGTAAAGCTTGTTGAACTATTTATTAATTATAACTTAACCATGAAACAAATTTACTAACAAATAATGAAGATCAAAAGACAGGAGAATGTGGGATCTTCCGGACACCAGTGTACTACCAAGGCAAGCATGTCCACAACAAATATCTCTGCCATGGGGAACTTTGACTCAAAGCCATTGAGATGAAGCTGAGATGCATCACATCAGGAAGGAGGAAACATTACTGGGATTTTTTTTCTATTCATTTCTGATTTGTGGGTGTCGCTGGCTGGCCAGCATTTCTTGCCCATCCCTAGTTGTCCTTGAGAATGTGGTGGTGAGCTGCTTTCTTGAACCGCTGCAGTCCTTCTGCTGTGGGTTGACCCACAATGCTATTAGGGAGGGAATTCCAGGATTTTTACCGAGTGACAGTGAAGGAAAGGCGATATATTTCCAAGTCAGGATGGTGAGTGACTTGGAGGGGATCTTAGAAGTATTGGTGTTCCCATATGTCTGATGCCCTTGTCCTTCTAGATGGAAGTGAACATGGGTTTGGAAGGTTCTTTCTGATGATCTTTGGTGAATTTCATACCAGGATGCTTCATACCAGGAGGTATGGCTAGAGTCTTCTGATTTGAACAATGGTCACAGACAAGACTGACTGTCAGTGAGGAGGCTAAAAGTATTATGAGGGTAGGAGTGGAGGGTGTTCAGCCTTTGCAATTCTCCAATAGGTTTGATGTTCTTGAAACAAATATGGATGAAAATGGGGTCTGCAAGGTGCCATTCAAGTAGGGAAGTAAAGAAGGATGCAGTCGGATGGGCTGGTATAGTTAAGAAGGAAAAACAGTTCTCCATAGCCAAAAGTCAGCATCCAGAAAGGTGTATTACCTGTTCATGCTCGCACTTTGATCATCTGCTCTGGGATGAAAAGGAATTTGCAGTGGGAAGGGAAGGCCTCAGTCGTCATTGTCCCGGTAAGTACAAACAACAAAAGTTAAGAGTTGCAACTGGGACGGCTAAGAGTGTATGACAAGCGAGGGACTAAATTAAAAAATAAAATCTCAAACGTAATGATTTCTGGATTATTTGTACTTGAGCCACATGTGGATTTGCATTGTGTAACAATGACTGGAGAGTTAAATGTCTGGGTCAAAGATTGGTGTAATTGAAATGGGTTTTAATTCACAGGGCACTGGTACCAATACTGGGAAAATTGGCAACTATACCACTTCACCTGAACCATGCTTAGGGCTGTGTCATGGTAAGTGTAGAGGGTTTTAAAGTATTTCTTGTGAGCCACGGTATTGGAAGGGTGGGAGAAAAGTATCAGGTGTGGAAGATGGGATAAATTAGAGCAAAAACAAGGCAGCAATGCTAATCAAAGTCTGTCAGGGACAGATTCTAGAGAGAATGAACTCACAGATAAGACCAGAGATTACAAAAATAATTTTAAAAACGCACAGATTTTTGATAGCCATACAGTCCTTGATCAGTGTTGAGGTCTCAACTATTCACAAACTATTTATAGTTTTACTGACAGGACTGAATGTACAGTAGTTAAATTTGTTGGTGACACAAGTTAGTTAAGAAATTAAGTCTAACGAGGACATAAAGATAGAATAGAATAGAGTAGCAATTTATTGTCACTTGTATTTATGAAAATACAGTGGTGAGTATAATGTGGAGCCATTTTGATTACAAAAAGAAATACTTGAGATAAAGTTAGGATAAAGTCCATCTTTAGTTCCCTCCATGGCTCCTGGATTTATGGAGTGACTATGGGATGCGGGTGCTGCAGCCGTCCCGAGGTCCCTCAAGCAAGGATTTCCAGACCAGACCCACCACTCTGATGATGACAGTATGGAAATCTCTTCTCCAAAGAGCTATGGAGGTTGGCTCATGAATATTTTAAAGGTAGAGGTAGAATTATTTTGGACTAACAGGGGAGTCAAAGGTGATAGGAGTACGCAGGGAAGTGGAGCTGAGGCCACGGTAAAATCTTATTGAGTAGCAGAGCAGGCTTGAAGGGTCGAATGGCCTCTTCTGTCTTTAAAGCACGGTTTGTGTTGATTGTCAACATTATCCACTTTCGCCTTGGGATGTAATAATATTAAAAATGGTGTTTGTGTTTCAGTAATACATGTGCTTTGGGGTTATATGACAGAAACTTCACGAATCTGTGATAACACAGTGTGGAGCTGGAGGAGTATTTCTGAAATGATTTCTGAAGAAGGGTCCCGACCTGAAACATCAACTTTCCTGCACCTCTGATGCTGCCTGGCCTGCTGTGTTCCTCCAGCTCCACATTGTTATCTCTCACTCCAGCACCGGCAGTTCTTACTATTCCTTAACGAATCTGTCACTGGCCATTTATTGTGTGTATATTGTAAATCAATCTATCCAGATATGGTACGAAACACCTCTGGAATAGATGAGGCTTCCTGGCCGAGAGTTAGGAACATCACGACTGCACCACAATAATTTATATTCTTATCTTTGCGTATTTCTCGGCATCCCTCCCATTTCACTCCCACCTCCCACTCTGCTCTCTTCTCCATTCACTCCCGCCTCCCACTCTGC